TCTATTATAGTAGGTGTATTGTTTTTATGGGCATGGTGAAAACGGCTACGGTACTTAAAATCCCACATTGACGACTACAACTAATAACACAAAAAGTAACAAACAAAACAATTGAGAAAAAATACATATACATATTTATTCACATTTTAATAATTTTTATTGTACAATTTTTGTTACAAGTATTCGAGATAGATCCCCGTTCTGGTTAACTATTACTCTACGTCAAACGACATCTAATCATGATGGACATTTTGTAAGCCTACCGTTTCCTTATTAATGTTGCTAACATCATAACCTCCCACATGCTTCTCTGTCTCTATTACAGTTTTCTTGCGAACTGCTTTCCTCTCCCTTTAGAACAATTATTATTATTTTGAAGGGAAAAAAAGCGTTGAATGAATGAAAGCCAAACTTTATAAATGTTTTCTTTCGTATTAAATCCTTCAGATAGCTGTGATGTTGGTTTGATTTCTTATAGTTGTTATTCTTGTTTTTAACTGTCTACGATTATCAACTCCTGAAAATCCAATGGACGTCATTTCTAGGGTGGGACATTTGGCGCCGCCCTCTTTTTCAGAACACTAAATTAAGATTATAAGTCTACTCGTATTGTTCCGTCTAGTATAAGAGTCTGACCCTTTTCGGATTTGAGCCTCAAGCATCAGGCCTTGATCTCCTGAGCTGCAAGACCAGCGTTCTGCTACTTCCTACTTCAACATACTTATATCGCTCTAATGTTTTCTTGCTAATATTTTCAACAATGTAATCTTAGATGAAAGGACAATTAGGTATGGACTGTAGATTAAGTATCAATGCCTACTACAGCATATATTAGGGTCAGTTCTGAAAAAAAACCCTGTAATATAGAGGGGGGGGGGGTTTAAAGGAAAAAACAAAACAAAACAAAACAATGAAAACAAAAAACAGATGTCGACTACTTTGCATCTCCTCCCACAAGAAACAAAACTGCAGTGGTGTTAAGTTTTAGTTCCCTTACCAGTTCCCTGCTGACCTCGGCACATTTCTTATAACGATGTAAATTGTTTTGTACCATTTTATCGACGGACGTTTTTGTCATGGTAAGTCTTTTAGTCATTACGTTAATGTGTAAACTGGTACGTGTAGTTATACTTATCAGTTCCTGTTTCGCCAGTTTCACCCGCCATTTATCTATTGGCTTCAGGCCAGTCGCAAAATAAGCATAAAGACCTTTCTTTTCATATGAAGTGACTAAAACCTGTACAGTTGTACATCCGCTGTTATTTGGCAGTCTAAACTGTTACGAAAACAAAATTTTGTTGTGTTTTTACAGAAAGGTCAATTGACTCCAGCCATCACTTTGTCCTGCTAGCCATAAATTCTTCTATTTCCTTTCCTTTCTACCACACTCGACACTTCTTTTCTGCGTTCATGTAGGACGTTTGGGGACAATTGAACTCTCGGGAGAAGTCCTCGGAATTCTGGGTTGGACCAATAGTTCTGCAGAACACATAAAGGAAAAAACAGCAACATAGTATTAGTAAAGGATAATTTGGTCAGTTGGTTAGTGTCTGAGCGCTTAATCGGCCGCTTGCACTGTATGCTCTCCGGAAAGCCGAGAATATTTCTGAGTGTTGTGGAGCTTGCTGTCGAGTGGGGGTATGTGCTATACAAATGCTATTTGTTATAATTATTATTATCATTATTATTATT